TATTTTGCCTTTGCCGGCAGGAGCAGCTCTACCACGAGCACCGCCACCGCCACCACGCCCACCAACCCAGTTACGCCTACGGCAGCGGCAACAACGCAAGGCAAAGGCACAAAGGACAGGCAAAGGTGGACCTGGAATGGACCCTTCACGGGCCCAGGCTCAAGTTGCATGTTACCCCAACGATTACCCCCCACCGCACACACACTCACAGGCACACCCACACACACACACAGGAAAAGTGGAAGAGGCAGCCCGACATTAGGCGCTAATCTTGATATTGTATAAGTGGGGGGGAACTGGCAGCTCCAGTCATCTGGCAGTGACAAGGAGCAGCGGCCAAGGTTAAGCAATTGAAGCAACAACGGCATATGACGGGACCGACCACGCCCCCCGCCCAAGGCAGATAGGTAGCATAGGAATGACATGCAACTGAGGGCTGGACCAGGAGGAACACGGACACGGACACGGCAGAGATTTATTATAATTGAGCAGAGACGACTATAAAATGTGGACCAAGGATGCTGCAAACATTTGACTCTGATTCCATGAGTCAGCATGAGCTGGGGGAACCCCACGCCAAAGACGATGCCTCGTGAAGGCTTAAAAACTGTAAGATCCTTTCTGTCACATCTCTCTTTGTTGCGGCATTGTGCGGCTTCTAATCATTCGAGCCGAGCGAGTTTTAAAACAGAAGTTAGTTAAGTTACTTGCGGATTAATTTAAAACGTGTAAAGACGAATCGCTTACAGACGTGTACGCCAATTGACGTGAGTGTGTGTGTGTGTGTGTGGTGTGTGTGTGTGTCCTTGATGTATCACTTCCGCTGTCTGTTAACTTACGAGTGCGCCATAAATACGCCAGGCGGCCAAGAGCACACGCGCGAAGCGATGCGATGGGATGCGATGCCAGGAACGGCATTCCATCCATTTGATAGCAACACGTCTTTCTGGTATTTTCACACGCTTGAGCATCGCATTGGATTCAGCGTCACGTTTTAGTGTCGCCCCAGTCTCAGTCCCAGTCCCAGTCCGTCCCAAGTTTGAACCTTTCATTTTCAAACCCACCGCCTCCAACAACAACAACAACAACAGCAGCAACAACACAGCCAGCCAGCACGGCCACCGCCGAATGGCGTCGCCTAATATGCTTATGCTGAATGCCCGGCCAGCTGTCTGGCAGCCAAAAGAGAGGCAGAGTGGCAGAGTGGCAGAGAGGCAGAGTGGCAGCAACGAGGACGAGGACGAATGGGTGGACTAGTCGACGGGGAATTGAACCCTTTTCGTTTTCCGGCTTGTAGTGGTAGTGGTATTGGCACGACGAGAGTGGAACGCACACCAGTGACCACGTGCCGCGCCGCACAACCACCCACCCATACAACCACCCACCCATACAGACACACAGGCACACAAACACACACATATCTCACACGCACGGCGCACGTCAATGTTGATATTTCAACTACAATATTATTTTCACTTTTAGACAGACAAGCGGGTAACCAATGCATACAGTTAGTTTATTTTGCAAATTATAATAAGCCACTTTGTGGCGTCGACGCCTCCTCATCCTCATCCTCATCCTCATCCAGGCCTTTGATGGCTGAAGTGCGGGATGGGGAGTGCGGGATGGGGAGTCTGCAGGCCCCTAACCAGTTCGACAAACTTATTTCGGAATGAACGTGCCGTCTGCTGACTTCTGTATGGATTCCTCCTCGGGATTTATCGCTTCCTTCGTTTATGCAGAGTTCCAATCGTTACAACCTTAAGCTTATTCTAGATCGGTTTAAATGAATTTAATTTTTTTTTTAATTCCATTGAATCTGCATCAACTGTTTCGATTGAGCATAAGTTGCTTAATTTGTGCTATAAGGACGCTCGGTTTTGAGCGTCTATGACTGCTTTTAATAAGATAAACCGCGGCCCCACTGCATCGGATCTAATTTGGCCGGACAGAGGAGACGCCAACTTCAAGTGCAGCCGACAGCATTTCCAAATTCAATCAGCCGTGGAAAATTCCCACTCATGCCGATCCAGAAAGGCGGGTCTGCGGAAAAAAATGTAATTAAGCCGGGAGCTCTCAGTGAAGGCAGAGCTTCAGGGGAGCACACCACATCGGATGAAGGTCGGTCACTCGAATAGTTATAAAGTTGGCGTGTATGAGAACGAGGTCGTGCAAAGATGGCGGCGAAGTCTTACAGGGGAAAAATGACAGAGATAATTAAGATTATGCTCATTACTCTACTCCCATTGAGCGGAAAAGTAATTTGTAGAGCCGAGACTGCCGCTCCTCCAGCCAATTCAATCGGAGATTGGTCGAAGGGAAGCTGCAAGATGGAAAGGAATAACAACCAAATATAGATGAGTTCTCCAACTGAATCGGAGATAAGTAGTGAGCTTTATCGGAAGTCTCGAGATAAGTCTTATGCACCATAAGGGGTGGCAAGAGGAGAAGCCTTCCGCCTTTCGGACTCCACCGATGACCTTCAGAGATTGACCCGAATGGAGCGCGAAATGAGAAATATTGATGCTGCCCAACTGTCCCTTCCCTCGCCATCGAATTCACAACTTTTATCATAAATTTGAGGGGCCACACAAGCAAAAAAATCACTTCAAAAAAATAAAAATGCGGTAGTGCAGCGCGAATTGTGTTGCCGAGTGGGGTAATGTAAATATATTGCTGGTCCCCTGCCACCTGATCGTATCCCTTCGAAGCCCTTCGAAGGCAATGGCCCCTGGTTTCGCTTTTAAAACTTTCGCGCATTTTGACTGAATTTGCATGGGGTCTTTAAGCTGCCCGCAATTCGATTTCCCAGCTCACGGCTTTTTCACAGCAATGAAAAGTTCCCGCGGGTGGGATAATTTAAATTTTCCAACGCTTTTCCAGTCCCTGATACACCGTTGCGAGGGGGAGAGCTTAAACACTGTTTATGCCTGTTAAATGCGAATCAGAGGAAGGTCAACCGGGTATCAAGCTCACTTAGCTTGATCTGGCTGAGCCCCGAATCCTTGTGCAGGCAGCAGCTTAAAGCCAGAGCGGAGTAAAGAACGAGAGTTTGGAACCTAGAGTCTGGAGTCTGGAGTCTGGAGTCTGGAGTCTGGAGTGTGGAGTGTGGAGTGTGGAGTTCGGACCGGTGGCAATTATCCCGGACTAACAACGGACTGGACAACGGACCGACTCGGCCGATGACAGGCGGAATCAAATGTGTCATCAAGTGGCTCTTCCTCCCCGGTCGCTTTGCTTGTTTGCCATATGAATAGTTAATGACTCGAATGCCAGCCAGCCAGTCCCACACACACAAGAGCCGTCGTGTCAGTCCGTGGCTACGGCTATGGCTATGGCCTTGTCCTTGCTGCAACCAGCGACAGGGACACGAGTCCAGACAATACCACAACAGGAGCTATGTGGATGTGGAGCTGAAAGCTGAAAGCTGCAAGCATTAGCCGTTCGTTCGGCAGACGAGGAAGTTGTGCGGTAAAATCTTACACTGCAGTTTATGCAAAATTGCCGATAGCAATTTGCAAATTTAATGGCGTGAACAAATTCAATCAATGTATGCAAACAAATACAGGTCAGGGGCGGCGCTGGGACCTCCTGGCCACTGGGATTAAGATAGCCTTTGCAGGCAACGGCTCTGGCTCTGGTTGCACTTGCACTCCCACAACCAACACTGCTCACCTCACTTGCTGATGCCAAACTGGACGCCAGACTCGGACTCGTCCGAATGCGTTTTAGTTAAAACTGCAAAAGGCAACAATAATCAAAGCTCGGCATCGTCCAGTGGTGATAAGTAATACGAAGAGCACACTCCTCTGCCTGGCCAGCTGGCTGGCTGGCTGGCTGGCTGGCTTGTGTGGCGTGTCTGGCGGTCTGCTATCTGAGGGCAGTCAGGTGCCATAATTGTTTGGCTGGTGACAACTGCCCCCGACCATCGACCACCGACCACCGGCCATCAACCCGGGGAACTGAACTTATGCAGCTGCTCCTGCTCCGTCTCGGGTTTCGATTTAGATTTGGCGCTGACTGCTGCTCATCGAATGCACTTGCTTGTTTCGGTTTCGGTTTCGGTTTCGGAATCTCTGGGTGGGCATACCGCATTGAACTCTCTGTCGGGGCTTTTAACTGATGAGTAGGAAGGCGAGATCGCACTGCACTTTTAAGCCGCCCAAGCTCCATTATCACGCACGAAAACAGAAGTATGTGGGTCGCAGGGTAAAGAATGGCTACCATTTTTTGTTCTGCCGCACAAATTTGTCTTTAGTAAGCGGGCAAAATGACAACTTAACTTAAAAACTTGGCCAAGGCAGCAGGAAGCCAAGGCAAAAACCTCGAGGCGCTACTCAGGGTCCTTGAAGCCCTCCGGCAGCGACTTGCTCGACTTGCTCGACTTCCAGATGCCGAGCACCAGTAGAGCGGTAACCCACCCAAAACTGACTTCTTCAAGGAGTCGGGCATGCCCACGCATTGCTGGGCTGTCGGGGGAAAAAAGATGTGTCTTGTAAATTATTGCAAAAAGCAGGCTGCAAATTAATGATAACGACCCGGCCAACACCTTCACCCCAGTCGTCGAACGGCTGGCACGCCAGCATTGCAGGACTTACGGAGGGGAGCCCTGAATGACATGAAACAACCAACCAACTACTTACTGGCAAGCGGGAAAAACTCGACAACACAACCAAGAGAGTGTGTAGGGTGTGTGTGCGCTTGTGTGTGGCTTTGCTGGCCGGGTTGGCTGGCCTAGGAACTGACTTGGCCCGACTTGACTGAGTGGCCCGGAACCTGACTAACTGGAGTGCAGTGCGCAGCTAGCTGGGCGGTTAAGGGGATAAATAAATGCTTCCTGTGGCGGCTACACACGCACACTTGCCACACTTGCCACACACTCGCCACTCACACTCGCCTTTTAACGCGTACAAGTTATTTATGAAAGCGACTTTTTCATCACTTTATCGGATGACTAAATAAACGCTATCATGCGGTGACAGTGCGCCCCTCTCTTTCAGTCAGATATTCATAGAAAAACGATTTCAAATGTGTCCGTCCAAATTTGTTGTGTTGTGTTTATTGCTAGTTTCTGTGAATGCTGAGCTGGCCGCTCTCGAAAACGACGTAACGCCGTCAACGGATCGGGAAAAACCGAAACCCTCTGACTTCGAATTTCTGGTTACGGGCGGCTATCGTCCGGAGACAAACCAATTGGTGAAGCACGTAGTTTCGCTTAGGCTGGGTAAACCAGCTAAGTTCTTCGGGGACAACCACTTTTGCGCGGGTTCCATCATTAGCCAGCGTGCCATCCTGACGGCGGCCCATTGTTTCTTTAATTCGTGAGTGCTAGTCCTAGTCCTAGTTCCTAATCCGCTAATTGAGGCCGCCAACAGACGCCGCCAGCTGCAGCCGAAGACGTTGACCGTCTTCGCTGGCACCCCAAGCGACTGGTGAAGAGCAGCACCACCCAGATGGTGGCGGCGAGGAAGCTGCTGCCGCACCCCAAGTACAAAAGGGGCAAATCGCAAAAGTATGATGTCGGACTGGTGTTTCTTAAGCAGGAACTCCGCCTGGGCGACGCCGTCCGCACGATACCGCTGTACAACAAGGCGCCGACGGCCGGGCTCAAATGCTTCATCATTGGCTGGGGCACGCTCATACATGTACACTCTCTGCACTTTCTTACCTCAAATTACCAGGCCATACTCACCTGCCTATGCTCTTTCCATTAGTTCGGACCACTGCCCGATGAGGTCGTCAATGGGGACGTTAAGATCTTGCCGGACACCTTCTGCCAGAAGCTGCAGGGCTGGACCAGGACGGGAATGCTGTGTGCCAATGACGAGCACAACTTCGAGGTGGACAGCTGCCAGGGCGACTCGGGCGGGCCGCTCATCTGCGACAGCAAGGTGGCCGGCATTGTGTCCTTCGGCACGGGCTGCGGTGAGCCCGATTTGGCCGGAATCTACACCGACGTCTACCACTTCCGGACGTGGATCAACGAGAACTCTGGCCCCCCGGCCATTTATCCGCTGGTTGCGCTCTTGATCCTGACACAGCTTTCGCTGGTGGCCAGTTTTTGGGGCACATGCTAAGCGCCAGCCAGCCAGCCAGCCAGACAGCCTGCTCTCCAATTCATTCCATTCAACAGGCGGTCGGTCGGTCGTTGCGCTCGGGAACCGTTACTAAGTAATCGCGGCTGCCAGCCAGCCAGCCAGCCCGGCTGCCCAACTGCCCAACTGCCAGTGGGAGCCTGCAAAACCTCCGAGCCTGCAGACGACAAACCAAAATTGACTAAAACCGACTAAAAGCGAGCATGCCCTGACATCCGTAGACGTGGAGGTGGACACCCGAGTGCGAGGCCATGCAACGCGATGGCAAATGGCGAAATGCGGTGCCCGGCGCGCCATTACCCGCGCACAAATGCACCCACACGCACTCGCCCCGTGTGTTTTGGGTGGGACAACGGTTTATGGTTATGCTGGCGATGGAACTGATGCTGCTCCTGCTGCTGCTCCTGCTGCTGCTGCTGCTCCTGATGCTGATGCCGATGCTAGCCGCGCTGTCGGCCAATCCACTACTGTTTGTGACAGCAATTATCGCATCACGACCTAGGCCGCCCCTCCTTAGTCGCCCACACACCCCAGTGCATATCAAGCGGCGGCGGCGAGGACATTGTGCAACAATTCGCCCTGGTTAATTTTGGGCATTCGCCAACTGTTGATTATACCAATTAGGGGCAGCGGTGGCCGCGCTTAGATTATAGAGAGCGCCACCAGAAGATGGGCAATAAAATGGGTCTGCTAACTGACCGTGGAAATGCACAAGGACTTTTGGTTGGACTTTCCAGCACAGAACGAATCTCGGTGCGAAATCTCGGCGCGGAGGCATGTTGATTCGATATCTGCAATGCAATTAGTAATAGCACACGCACACTCCAATCACTACGATGGATATGGAGGGCTAAAGCAACAACCTAAGCAACACAAGTCACGAACGTGTCCCCAGCGAGGGATGCTCCTCCGTCTCCAGGATTCTTCGAGCAAAGCCATTGTGCCACCGCCTCGGCGACTGACTGACGAGAGGCAGGCCGCAAAACAATGTTGAATTGATGTGGGACCCCAGCCAGGCACAACGACGAGCACAGCACAGCACACATATTTACAGACACTCGCAATCAGGTTTGTCATTTCACAGTCGTATTGTGTGCTGTTCAAGTGTTCATAATGAATTTAATCGCATATGTTTATTGCTCACTTTGCCCGGGCTCTCCAGCTCAGTTCTGCGTTCTGTCCAGACTGTTCATTTGGCCCAACAAGTTGTTGCTATCTCGGCGTCATGGCGCAGTCGACACTTTATCATTTTGTCACGCTTCTTGTTTACCAAGTTGGCTCGTCAGCGCCCTCGTTCTTCTGCATATTGATTTAGCCTTGTTGTTTCCGTTGTCACGGTCTGCTGTCCGTGTGTGTGTGTTTGGCTGTTTGGCCATAGTCCTGGCATGTGCCCGTCCTCGTCCTTTTTGCGCCTGCAGCAGTAAATTGTTTGCATATATTAGAGACATGCTTAAAATTGCGTTTCAAGAGAAGTTTATTTAAAAGGCATTGCAGCAGTCATTGATTGCGGGCTTAGCGCTGCCCAAACAATCCACAAGTAAAACTTCTAGACGAAGCACCTTTCAAAGTAAACCTCCTAAGGACTAATCGCTCAATAAGTCGACATGTTGAACTGCGTATCCGGTGCATTATGTGGATCAGGTTAGCCGGACACAACTAGTCGTTCTGGTCGTTCAACTCCGTTCAACCAGGAAGCACACCTCTGCTATAAACCGTGCAAGCGGTTTAGTCGCGGCACTGGAGGACTGCAGGACTCGTGCCTGCTGACAAATCGAGGGCTAAGCTGCAACGTCAACACGCCGACTACTGCGAGCAAGGGGGACCAGGACCTGGCACCCACCAGAACCAGAACCAGAACCAGAACCACAGGCCGACCAGCGAGCAGGGCCAGATTCGAACTGAAATCTCTATCAATTTGCGTTTGTAAATACATTTTAATGGCATTTCAAAGTGAGGCTGAGTTGACCCCTGAGTACCGTCGAATAGCGAGGGCCATCCCTCCCACCACCCACCACCCACCACATACCACCCACCACGACTCAGCTCAACACACAATAGTAATCAATTTGAACATTTAGGCGGAAAGCTGCCTCTGAAAGGGGGGACGGGGGCTCCGAATGACACCGGAAATTCAAACTACTTCCTGTTTGGCTGTGGCATTCGTTAGCCGTGTTTCATTTTCGCTGGGATTTGCTTTGGTCCAACGGATGATGGCTTGGCCTGCGATTTGATTTGTTTTCATTGTAACGAGCCTTTTATTAGCTCCACAGCTAGACCTCATCATCCCCGCACGTCCGCAGTCCTTCGTCCACCCATCGCTATCCCCAATACCCGCTCCCCGATCCCCGCTCCTCGATCACAGCACATTTCATCCCATCATGGCTGTTATATTGGCACCATTGTTGTTTTTGCCGCTATGTCGTTGTGGCCCTGTTCGTTAAATGCAAACACCAAAAGGGTTTTCAAAAACAACAATCAACGCCAGCAGCCCTCTGCCACCCCCGTGATTCCACCTCCGCCTCCACCTCGACCACGCAACAGAGCAGCAGTCCAATCGCCAGGACACCCCTCTCCCTCCCCCTTTCCCACCCCCTTTCCACCCACTTTCGGGTTTGGGTGACGGGCAAGGCAGGATGGGCAATTCAGGAACGCCAGCGGCAGGCAACCCGTTTTCGATTCTGTTTGCCCAGCACTGGCGGGCCACAGCGCCGAGTATTTGACTAGAAATGCCACGAAATATGTCGTAGTGTCGTACAATTCCAAAGAAATGCTAAAAACCTATTAACAAAAACTTCTTACACAAACGCATTTGAGTAGGGACTTGAGAAATCTAACGAATTTGATTGGAAAAATAATTCAGAATGCAGTTCTCTTTAACTAATTAGTTTAGTTGCAGAACTAAATTTAAATATATAAAATATTTTGTTTGTATTTGAATAAACATTAATTAATCCTATTCAAGTGCCCTGTGCAGTATGCTTTTTTAATTGTCTGACATTTCGTGTTGCCTGTATGTGTGTGTGTGTGGGGGGGAATGGATGGGTGCTAGTGTCGGTGTGGCTGTGTGGGTGTACGTATATACGTGCTCGTTATTGTCAGTCTGTAGCAAAGCGATTTGCATACAAATTTGGCACGAAGTGTAAATATTTAAGCAGATACAAAGTGTGAGTATTAAATTTTTGATACTAATTAATTATGCATGTGTAAATTTTGCAATGAAAATTATTATAACGCCATATTTCGGCTGCCCCCTTTAGATTGCGTGTAACGAACGCACTTTCGGCAAATCAAATCAAATGTTTGACAAACAAAGAGTCGGAACGAAAATCCGATTACACTCGCGCAGATCTGCAACTGAAAATTGTTTATCAATGCAGTCGCACAATCAGTCGCACAGCCGGACGTTTCGACTTTATTGGCCGCATAGTTGAGCTAATTAGTTAATTAATTATTGGATTAAGCACATTATGCATCCAAAAAAAAAAAAGGAAAACCGCAGCCCTCTCACTTGTTAGCTTGCATTGTTTTATTTGCCATAGCTATAAGCCTTGAGAGAGAGTGGAAAGATAGAAGAAGGGTGCCAGTGCCCGTGGAAAATACCCTCACACTTGGCCAGGAAGTTCGAGCACAACACTTTGAGGGCAATAATAACAAAACATTAAGTGCGAACAAAACGACCAAACAAATAGACAAACATGCTGGAAAATCGAACAAAGCCGGGGATACAATGTAACTAACGCCTCGAATGGCGGCGGAATTCAAGTTGATTGGTATCGGGATTGAGGCAGGGATTGGGTACAGTATTGAGAATGGGAAAGGGGAAAGGCGAAAGGGGAAAGGTCGGGGCTTATGCAGGGTAGACAAAGCAATTCGAAAAAGGATATCAAACAAGAAATTCTATTAAAACTTTTTCACTTTCGCCCTGAATGTGTGTGCGCTGTTCAAAAGCCAAATATACCAATAAATAATTTACTCGGGATCGTCTCAGATTTTTTTTTTTTTGTTGTCCGCATACTTTAAGCGTATTAGCCAAGTCCAAGCTGAGTGGAAAAGAAAACTTCCACAAGAGGCGGTCGGTCAAGTGACGGGAGTGCAGGAAAGGCATCAAACGGATGTGTCCGACCACAGGATACTTGTTACTTCTCCTGTTCAGCTCGAAAGAAAGCTCGAAGTCGAGGAGAACCCTACTACCCTGTAGCAACTGGCCAAGAAGCGGACCCCGCCAAGTGCGAATCTGTCTGCGAAAGTGTTATCTATGACCAGACAACTGCAGACTATTTGTATTCATTTGTTGTTCTTTGTGACTTTGTTGCTGGGCCACTGGCGCCACTGGGCCGACCGACTAGCGCCGCTATACAAATAGAAAAGGTCTTTTAGAGAAGACCAGAGCAATCCCTGCTCGTCGCCATACACCTGATGGCTGCTGAATGCCAGCTTAATTGTTTTCAATTAGCAAGCAAATTGGATGAGGCAACCTCAGCCCTTTGATTAAATCAACAACATGATTTCAGTTTTGATGCATAAAAGCACTCGCTAGTTCACAAACGCAAATAGAAATAAATAAGAGCACTAATCTATACATATATAAAAAAAAAAAAAAAATAATAAAAGGTTTTATCGTTGTCTTCTACAAACACTGTGCCGAATCTGGTTTTCAGTTTTAAATTATTCAAAATCTACTCCATTCATCGTTTCTGCATAAATTATGTGATGGAATGCAGAAACTCAAAATAGATCCAAACAGCAGCAGTTTCCCGGCAATCGTCACCGGCCTATTGAGGCATTCACTTAAAACTCTGAGCAGCGATTAAGCGAAGCATAACGGAGAACTTGCAAAGCGTTTCATCCAATTAGAAAGTGTAGTTTCATTGTTAATTGCTCCATCAGAGGAGCATCTGCGGACGAAGGACGTGAACTTGGCCGAGGCAGCTCAACTTTTCGCCGGCGAAAAGCGCCGCATACCCAATGAGTTGTAATTAACTTTATCCGAAAATCTTTGCCGCCGCAACGGCTGAGAGAGTCGAGGGTCTGTCGGGCGGGGGCTGGGCTGGGCTGTATTTAATATGGCCAGTTAGCTGATGGGTCGTTAAACCAGATCCGCATCCGCATCCGCATCCGCATCGGAGCCACTTTGCACTGCTCAAGTGTTGGCGGTTGGTTTCATTGAGTTAAGTAGTCAAAGCTATCTAAAAAAATCCGCTATTTATGACCGCTTTATGTGTACCAATGGAACTTATTCCGATGTCCTAAGCAGGGGCTTTCCTGCTTTCGAACACATCGCCACCCTCGCCACCCACCCGTGTTTGCTTTTCCTTGTTTTCTTCTCAGACATTTCCGCAATCCCATCCTTCACGCTTCCTTCGCACGTTCTCAGCCTTTGCGGACTGGATGGACTTGACCATTGTTTCTGCCGCTCCTTATTCCCCTTTCCCCGTTTCCTGATTATTTTTGTAATTGTTGTTTAAGTTGTTGTGGCTACATCAACCGCACTTCCTCCTCAGCAAATGCCGTTTCGGGCGTGATTTAATTGAAATCAATTAGCGGTAATGAGTGGTCATTAAGCCGGCTTAGTGTGCTAGTCCCTCCTTACATTCGACAGTTCATTCGTTTTTTACGCCCCGACGATGCTAATTCGAAACTGCTCGACTCTTTTCGGTCGGAATGAGTTGGCCAAAAAAAAAAAAAAAAAAAGACTCGAGAGGCACATGACTTCGAGGAGGTCTCTTTAAATAGAATTTAATGCAAATTGAACGCAAACTTTTTCAAATACATTTCAATTAGGAACTGTATACGAAAAGGGGACCACCGCATACGAAGCCGAAGCCAATCTCTAACAATAACAAATTAACTGCGCCGCCAACCAACTCCCCGCAAAGGGCCACAAGTCCAGTTCACATATTAAATGAAGGCATAACATTTGCCTTCCACAAACGCAACCAAAAGTATTCCTCCTCCTTCTGGCCAACTGATGATGGAAAGGACGAGGAGGATGTTGCTCCGAGGAGGAAGGTTCGCTGCAAAAATGGCGGATGAACAGTTGGTTGCTCGCACTTAAAAAGTGCACGGCCCAACGGAGGGGTGACAACAGAAGGCAAAAGAGACAGGAAAAGCGGAAAACCCGAATGGGG